CACTGGGTGTTATACGCAAACAATGAATCATGGAACACTACATCAAAAACTAATGATGTAATGTATGGTGATTAACATAACATAATTTAAAAAAAACATATTGAATGCTTTACTCACATTCTGCTGCCTGGCTATTCCAATCCAGCGTGGCCTAGCTCATAATGTGCTTCCTTCATGAAACATGCCCTGACTTTAACTGCTTCCTCTGAATATCTGAGGCAAGAATATTTTACAAGTATTTTACAGGTATTGTGTGCCAGGAAACCTCCCTTGCCTTATATTTTGCTAACTGGCTAGTTACAATGAACAGAAAAACCGAGGGACTACCTCTGGAATTAGCAATCATTTTTAAATGTAAAGAATTATCTCTTCCAATAAACTGTAAGCAAAATAAAAATAGCAGTAACTCATTTTTAGTTTGTATCATCTCCTTTGCATATAATAATTAACAGATATTTACAAATTGTCTGGAAAGCTGTGTTCCCTTCCTCTTGACATTCTGGGGGAAGCTGATAGGGTCTAAGGTCACTCCGTTAGCATTACCATCCAGCAGGCATGGGCATTCACAGATATTCCGAAGTCTCCTCTGCCTTACTGCCCACGATTAACCAATAAATTCTGCCCCTAAGTCACTCATAAAACAATCTAATATAGCTGCCCAACCAATCTCCTTCTAGAATAAAACCATATCAAAAATACTCCTCTATGAAATGTGTCCTTAACTTGAATGGTAATCCTCTTGAAACATTCATCTCAACATAGCTATAAAAAATGTACTTGATCTGTAGTGATTAATTCATCTTTCTTCATTATTTATTCACTCAAAGACTATTTATTAAGCATCTATCATGTATCAGCCACTGTATATAATCAATTCTAAAAGTAAGCTACTGATTTATAAGTATTAAACTTATTGTGTATAGTCAACACAATTTTTGAGTTGATGATCAAATTTATAACTTGTCCACATCCTTTTACTATTTTTAAGTCTAGGTGACTATCAATTTTACTTTTCAGTACCTTCCTCACTCAGTGAGTAAATGAAGTAAAAGCTGCTGGAATCCTGTTCAATTGTATATTAAACACTTAAAACATACACTTCTATGTACTTTAACCTCTTTAAAAGAACTATTCTATATAAACTGAATTAAATCATCCACTAAGAAGGTCACCCTTTCTTAGAATTGTGGAACAGATGAATTCATAAATTTAACCAAAACCTCTGTGTTGTAACTCATGACAATTTCTTGACAGGCTATATTGAGAGACTAGCTGGTAACTATCAATTGTAGTTGAGATAATTCTTTATAAATGATATTACACATTTAGAGTTTTGAAAATAGAGAAAAGACCTCATAACAGACTTTGGTTGAGTTTAGGGAAGAAATTATGTATAAGGAATGTTGTTAATTATTAACAATGACTATCCAAGGGAATAATGTTCTTTGCGAGTATTTTAGAACATGAATTCTACTCATGATCCATTTACTGATGGATCTAGCAGTATGAATTCCTTCGACTCAAAACTCTATTTGTCTTCCTGGTTTCCATATACAAACACTAGCGTACAGCAGTGCACTTCTACCCACCTTTATGAGGCATATGGCAGATGGATGGTCTTCGTGTTCGTTACCTTTTTTGATATCAACTGCATCTTCACAAAGTCCCTTTATATAAAGCAAACAGCCTTGAAATAACTCATCGGCCCAAAAAAGATGGCGGTACAAAAACAACCTGAAAGTTAAAAGAATTTCCAGACTTATCTCCCATTCAAAAATGAGTACAGTGAATTTAGAGGTACCCAGTATAATTTGTTTTGTATCTATATGAGGTTTGTTTGGCTGGTAATGCTGAAAGCAAGGCTGTGTACAGGGTGCGTTGAGTAGGAACAAAATAGGGGAGACAAGGGATGACGTTACGAGTTTATGCCACTGAGTTCTAGTAATTCTGAAATAGTAGGCAGTGACACGTTTCTTAAATTCTCCAACCAGCCAAATTCTAGAGAAGACAGGCCCTTCTCTTTCCTCAGCCCCTTCCTACTGTCTGGTCGTGGTCACAAAGGTGAGACAGACCACTGCCAACAACACAAGACAGATCGAGGGAGAAAGGAGCAGAATGGGAGAGAGAAGGCTCCAGAAAAACTGGATCAAGAAAAGCAAACTTCCCTGTGCAACAGTGTATAAAGAACAGGGGGTCTTCTGCCCTTCACTGATCCCTTGTGGGGTGGCTGATTTTATGGCTGATTTCTGTATTTTACACAAAAAATATAATTATCAGAAATTAGCCCCTTCCTGGCTTCCCATTTTACTGGCCAAAGCTTTATATACCGTGAGGCTAGTGAAGCTTACGTTCCATGGGCCCTTTATTCTCGCTGCCTGTCCCAAAGCCTTGTGCTGTCTGTCTCAAAGAAGGCCTCCTCACTACACACACCTCACGTAACCTGAGCTACTCACAGAGGTGGAATTGGTTCATGACATTCCCGAGTATCTAGTACGGGAAGGAAAAGAGATCACAAAAGACAAATGGCACATTCCAGAAAGTGAAACACCACAAAAATCAGACCCAATCTTGATAAGAGAATGATGATCAAAAGTCACACAGTAATGAATTCACATTACTCAACACTGTTTAACGCTTTCTTTTCTTCCCTTAAAAAATATAATTGATTTTATTTGCATATTTTAACACAGCTATGAGGAAACTAGGGAGGGTGCATTATAAAAATAATGAACAGTGGGGAAAGCATGAAAAAATTTAGAATTGTGATGGTGAGATCTGACAAGAGAAAAATAATGCATCATCTGATGACTATTCAAGCATAGGGGCTATGAGGAACTCACCAACAAATTCCATTCTATTATAACAGAAAACTAACTACATTCTCCAAAACTTTACTCACAAGATAGAACTTCTTGGTAATTAAAAATACACCACAGAAATCTATTAAAACCTAGGTCCTGGCTTCTAGAAAAATGGAGCAAGTGTACTTTTCACCATTCTTCCCTCTGAGCACAACTAAACACTGTGAACATCATACATGAAGGGAATGTAAGACGACCCTGACAGGCAGAGAAGATGGACCAGCTAGGAATGACATGGAGCTAAGGCGGACCGGCTAGGAATGACATGGCACTAGGGTCCTTGGGTTTTCTCATGCCTCCTCCATCCCAGGCTTGGAGTTGGAGAAACCAGCAACCTGGAAACACCAACAGGTGCCTGCTGTCCAGCTACAGGATCAGGAAAGGGGTAGCTGAGCAGGACAGAACATTATCAACAATAACCATTCTACTCCAGCGAGATACCACAGGACACAAAGGCCACGTGGACAGCGTGGAGTTCCACCTGTGGCAAGTGGTAACCAGGCTTCCCCAGCATTCCTCTGGGGGTTTCCAGGGAAAGCGGAGTAGGGAATCAGGAATTTCACCTTCCCTGGGGGGGAGGCAAGCAAAGAAACAGAAGTCAAACAAAGAAACAGAAGACAAAAAAAGGACTAAATGGAAATTTTAGAACTGAAATTTAAAAACTCAATACACTGTCTCAATAGCACAATGGAATGGACAGAGAAATCAATGAACTGAAAGAACAATAGAAATTATTCAATCTGAACAATAGAGAAAAAAATAGACTGGGGGAAAAAAAAACAACACCTCAGACCCTCAGGGACAGCAGGACTATAAAAAAGATCCAGCATTTGTGTCTGAAGTCCTAGAAGGAGAGGAGGAGGAGGGCAGGGCTGAAAAAATACTTGAAGAAATATGGATGAAAATTTACCAAATTTGTCAAAGGATGAACAAACACAGAGGTGCAAGAAGCCAGGGTGACCTAAAACAGGATAAAGACAAAGAAACCCAACCAAGACACATCAAAGTCAACATTCTGAAAACCAAAGGCAAAAGAAAAAGTCTCGAAAGCAGCAAGAGAAGAAACATGTATAGAAGAAAAGCAATTTGAAGACCATGGAGGCCAGAAGAAAGGGGCACACGTTTTCAAATGCTGAAAGGAAAGAACAGTCAACTCAGAGTCCTGTATTCGGCAATAACATTCCTCACTGGGAGGGAGATCAGGACACTTTCAGATAAAGGAGAAGCAAGAGATTTGCTGCCAGCAGACCTGCCCTAAAAGAATGGCTACAGGAAGTTCTCTAAACAGAGATTAAACAACAAAACAATAAAAGAAGGAACCCAAAACACTGAGAAGGAACAAGAACATGATGAACAAACCAAACTGAACACATTTTAAAAATGCAGAGGCGCCTGGGTGGCTCCGTAGGTTAAGTGTCTGACTCTTGATTTCAGCTTGGGTCACAATCTCAGGGTCGTGAGGTGGAGCCCCCCCGTGGGCTTCACACTCAGTACAGAGTCTCCTCTCCCTCTGCCCCTCACCCCTGCCTCCATACTCTCTCTCTCTCTCAAATAAATAAACCAATCTTAAAAAAATAAAACAAAAATAAAAATCTATAGACTATCCTTCTCTTGGGTTTTATAACTTACGTTTG